TTCGTAGCAAATATAGTTAGACAGACCTTTGTTAAAGATTCGTTATCTTTTTCTTATTGATCACATTTCCGTTTTTAAAAAGGCAGCACGGAACAGTTCCTGAGCCGTCTTCCAATCACACAGAGCAGGCTGTCCTGCTCTATCCCTCAGACCAATCCACACCAAGACGGGATGGCAAATCCCACTTCTGGAGTGTCCTGGCTGGAACCAATGGTTGTGGCGGGGAGTTCCTGGCTGGGTCCCAGACAGGAAGGGGTTTGTGTCAATGTTCCTTCTAATCTTTTCCATCGGTGGGCAGGATTTTTACCATCATTGCGTGGAATAATTTTTTATGTGCACCGAGGCATGTGTGAATGTGCACCACCAATAGAAACACTCCACCTAACTGTGAGCGCTCTGTTTATCAGCTGGGAAGCATTTGAATTTCTCCTGAGCGGCTGTACATGCGCACAGCCTACAGGGAGTGTGTGTGTTTGGCAGACTATGAGGTGTCCTGGCCCAATCCCAGTGAAATGGAGTAGGAGGGTCACATGAATGAAATGGACCATGATCAATTGAACTCAAAGCACAATAAGCTCGTGAGCTTCTCCACAATCCATCTGTCCACCCTTTTCCCTGCAGTGCTCAGACAAATTCCCTTCTTTGTCCCCACTTGGACTCTCCGTCCATCATGGAGCCTGAACCACAGCCTGGCCTGTATCTGGTGCTGCTGTGTCAAGCCCATGGGCTCCTGGAAGCCCCTCAGGCCCTGGCGGCGGTCGAGAGGCGTTAGCGTGCGTGGCTAGATGCCGGGTGAGGTTTGCCTGTTGGCTGAAGTCCTTGCCGCAGGTGGAGCAGCGGTACGGCTGGGCCCCAGTGTGGGGGCGCTGGTGCTTGGTCAGCGTGCTGGCGCTGCCGAAGCCCTTGCCGCAGTCGGCACAGCGGTACGGCCGTTCCCCGGTGTGCGTATGCCAGTGCTGGGTCAGGGCACTGGCGTTGCTGAAGCTCTTGCCACAGTCCGTGCACTGGAAGGGCCGCTCCCCGGTGTGGGTGCGCCGATGGTGGGTCAGCGTGCTGGCATTGCTGAAGCCCTTACCACAGTCGGCGCAGCAGTACGGCCGCTCCCCGGTGTGCGTGCGCCGGTGTTGGGTCAGCGTCCAGGTGCTGCCGAAGCTCTTGCCGCAGTCGGCACAGAGGTAGGGCCGCTCCCCGGTGTGTGTGCGCCGGTGGCGGTGCAGCGAGGCGGCATCACCGAAGTCCTTGCCGCAGTCGACGCAGCGGTAGGGCCACGCCTTGGCGTGCATGCGCCGGTGCCGGTGCAGCGATTTGGCCCAGCAGAAGCTCTGGCCGCAGTCAACACAGCGGTACCGTTGCTCCCCGGTGTGCGTGTGCTGATGGGCCGTCAGGTGTGAGAGTTGAGCGAAGTCCTTGCCACAGTCGGCGCAGCAGTAGGGCCGCTCCCCGGTGTGCGTGCGCCAGTGCTGATTCAGTGCCGAGGCTCGGATGAAGCCCCTGCCGCAGTCAGAGCACCGGTACGGCCGCTCCCCGCTGTGCGTGCGCCGGTGCTGGGCCAGTGCCGAGGCATTGCTGAAGCTCTTCCCGCAGTCCACGCAGCTGTGGGACGGTTGCCCTGCAGCCAGGTCCGGTCTCTGGCTGACTCTGTTTCTACACTCGGCATGGGGACCAACTCCAACCTGTCCATGGTTCCCCCCATGGGCCGTGGGATCCTGCTTTCCTCCCGCACTCTCCCCACATTCCAGCTGTCTCCTCATTCCTCCCTGGACCGTGCGCCCTGCTGGAGAGAGAGCAGAGGGAACTCTGGGGTTAGCTCGCAGCTAAGTTTGCATGTTGGTCAAAGTGTAAAAAATCTCAGAGTCTGATTTCCCCATTTGTCCACCACTTGTCTGTGACTCACCCCGCAACAGCGACTCCTGTCCTGTGGGGCTGGGCCCAAAGTCCTGTACCAAGTGGTGTAACCTGGCATCCAGGGCAAAAGTGCCTCTCACATATGTCCCTCTGTCCCATCCATGACAGACAAAAAAGGCCAGACTGAGTCAGACTAAAAGTCCATGTAGTCCAATGCCAGGGACGCCAGAGGGAGTGAACAGAACAGGTAAATGATCCATCCTGTCACCCATTCCCAACTTCTGACAAATAGTGACTAGAGACACCATCCCTGCCCATCCTGGCTAATAGCCATTTATGGACCTATCCTCCATGAATGTATCTAGTTCTTTTTTGAACCCTGTTACATTCCTGGCCTTCACAAATCCTTTGGCAAGGAGTTCCACAGGTTGACTGTGCACTGAGAGAAGAAAAATTTCCTTTTGTTGTTTTAAACCTGCTACTTATTAATTTCATTTGGTGACCCCTAGCTCTTACGTTATGGGCACAAGTAATTAACTTTTCCTTATTTACTTTCTCCACACCTGTCATGATTTTATAGACCTCTACCATATCCCCCCTAAGTCTCCTCTTTTCTAAAATGAAAAGTTGCAGTCTTTTTAATCTCTTCTCATATGGCACCAGTTCCAAACCCCTCATCATTTGTGTTGCCCTTTTCTGAACCTTTTCCCATGCCAAGATATATTTTTTGAGATGAGGCAACCACATCTGTAACCAGCTTTCTCCCTTTCCCCACGTCTGCTCTTTGGCAATCAAAGCCCTCACGTCCCAGCAGGCGGGGCCCTTCTGAACTTTCTCCAATGCCAAGATATTTTGAGATGAAACGTGAGCCCCACTGGATCAGAGCTATTGCTGTGTATTGCCCCAGGGAACAACACTGTGGGGTGAGCATGGGGCAGGTTCACCCTTGAATGCCCTTCCCCCCCAGCTTCTCCACACCAGGCCAGGATTAGGGTGAGAAACCCCTGGCTGAGCTAGAGTTAAGTTTTGAGAGAGAGATGCCCCATCTCCATTGACAGACTCCCAGGCTATGTCTAGACTGCATCCCTCTGTCGACAGAGGGATGCAAATCAAGCACGTCACAATTGTTAATGAAGCCGAGATTTAAATATCCCGTGCCTCATTAGCATAAAAATGGCCACCGCTTTTTTTCGAAACAGAGGGGTTTTTTTTCCCGAAGAAACAGCAGTCTAGACGTGGATCTGTAGAAAATAAACCCTTTTTCGACAGATCCTGTATTCCTCAAAAAATGAGGTTTGCATGATCTGTCGAAAAAGGCATTAATTTCGACAGATCTGCATCTAGACTGCCGTTTTTTTCTAACAAAAGAGTGAGTGATGGCAGTGGACAGTAAGGTGGGTGGGAATGAGCATGGTTGGTGCTTCAGAGAAGGGATGGGGTAAGTGTGTTCAGTTTTGGGTGATTAGAGAGTTAGCAACCCTGCTAACAGAGCAGGAGACTTGGTCAGTATGCTGCCTGGAAAGTCAGACCAGCTAATAAAGACCCACTAAATCAAACACTGCGGGTTTGTGGGTTACAGTAAGATATGACATAAGACTATTTCTGTTCAGTTTTTTGTGATTTTTTTAATTAACACTATTTAGAACATTGACACACAGTGAACAACTTTAGTATTGAATTCTTGTAAAAGTTTATGTTTTCCTGAGCTAGAGACACCACTGTTAAGATCATTCAATGCCAGGTCTTCTGCTTTAAGAATGCTTATGTTATATACTATTGAGTGAAGGACTCTGCTGTTAAGGTTTCTTGATTTAAGGAAACCTCTGTGAGTATGACTGCATAGGCAGGGGCGGATATAGGGCAGGGCTAGCGTGGCGGCCGCCCCGGGCCCCGCGCTTCAAGAAGCCCCGCGCATGCGACGTGGCAAAGGGGGGGCCCCACGAAATTGTGCTGGCCTGGGCCCCGCAAAATCGTCATCTGCCCCTGTGCATAGGGATTAAAAAATGCACAGCAGGCCCAGGTCAGCTAACTTTGGCAGGTAGAGCGTGGGCTCTGGGGCTGAAAAATCACAGAAGTCCAAGCTCTGGAACTCTGCAAGGGTAGAACATTTGAGTAGCCTCTTAGCAGGTTTAAATAGTATCTGGGCTTTGGCCTTGAGAGGCTCTTCTGCCAACTGGGTATGGTAGCTGACTATACCCTCTTTTTTCCTAGCTGTGTGCCTGTGCTGGGAGGCTGGGGCTATGTCTACATTGCAGAGTTTTTGTGCAAAACCAAATGGTTTTGCACAAAAACATGCAGAGCGTCCACACCTTAAATGCGTTTTTGCACAAGAAAATTTACAGTGAATTGACAGAACAGAGGGGTTTTTGCGGTGTAGGTATTCCTCTTTCTATGAGGAATATCTCCTTTTGTACAAGAACTCTTGTAGAAAAGGTGTGTGTGGATGGGAAATGGTTTGAACTACCTAGTTCGAACTACCTAGTTCGTGCCCCGTGTAGCCGCGCTGCACGGGGTTCGAACGAGCGGGGTTTTAAAAATGGCGGCGCCCCGCTTATGCAAATGAAGCCCGGGAAATTCAAATCCCGGGCTTCATTTGCAAGTGCGGTATGCCTACGTTACCCCGCTAGTTCGAACTAGCGGGGTAGTGTAGACATACCCCCAGTGAGGGAAAATCCACCCCGTCCCAAGGGGAGCTGTTCCCGAGATGAAGTCCCTTCATTAACACTTGGCCCCTAATTTCTAGCCTGAATTTGTCTCCCTTCAGCTCCCATCTGCATAAAGGATCCCTCCTCTAGCTGCTGGGTAAATCAGAAGGGACTGGATTATTAAGACTCACCTGAGGAGGGGCTTTCAGACCTGGAGCTTTCCATGGAGTCCTCGGTATCCTGAACCCAGAGTTCTGCCTCCCCTAGCTCAATCCGCTGGATTAAGTCTGGTTTGGAACCTGAATAGCCTGTTTGGGGGGAAAGAATGGGTTTCATTACTAAGCGCTTCTCCACACGACGCAGTGTTGTTGACAAAACAGGGGACGGAGGCGTGCACACGCCAACGTGACTTTTGGGTATTAAAAAAAAAATGTTTTGGTGATCAAATAAAAGCACCTCGAAGAGAGAGAGGTGTAGTGCGTTTGGAGGCCACGTTTCAGCCACAAAGCATCAGTGCAGACACTGTGCTTTGTTCTGCCGCTGTAAATGGCCTCCAGGAGGCATCCCACAATGCCCATCTTGACCGCTCTGGTCAGCAGTTTGAACTCCGCTGTCCTGCGCATATGTACACAGATAGCCACTCCGCTGCCCTTCAAGCCCCGCCAATTTTTGAAATTACACTTCCCATTTGGTTGGCACGGAGAGCTCACATCGCATTTTCCCCCCAGACCATGGCCACTCCACAGGGCGAACGCTCAGCTGCTTGGGCCACCGTGGAGCTGTTGGATCCACTCCAGCCATAAGTTTGATACCTACAGGCACGTTTCTCATCAAGAGATGTATTTTACTTTAATGATTCAATGGGGTGTGCAAACTAGCCACCATGTTTCTGTGTGTTGTTTCTTGTGCTTACGTGGATGTGACCTGCAGGAGAAAGCCAATCCACTGGCCGAGAGCCTCTCCCAGATAAGAAAGAGACCAAGGTGGAGCAAAAAGGTCCAGGAAGGGCTACAGGAAGGTCCAGGAAGGGCTACAGTTCTCTGACACAGAAAAAAAAAAAAGGAACACAGGGAGTAGATAGAAATGGAAAGGCAGGACAGAAAAGAAAATCAGAAGATTATTCAAAGAGGCCGCTGAGTGGATGGTAAAAGTAAATGGAGGGACAAAGAGAGATGCTGAAATTCCTACTCACAACCTATTCTGAACAGATGCATACTTGCCTCCCCTGTGGCCACTTTAGAACTATTTTCCACACCCTCCCCAAACTTGTCCCACCCATTCTTTTCATCTTTCTGGGACTTCTTGGTTTCCCGTTCACTCCACCCTTTCAGATGGCCTCCACAATTATACTGAAATTAGCATAGCTAATTGGTCTTGCCTAGAACAGGGGGCTGGACTTGATGACCTTCTGAGGTCTTTTCCAGCTCTATGATTCTATGACAGTCTGCCCCTTACTACTTCCCTTCCCACCAAAGCTTTGTGTTTACTAGTGTTTAACAAAAACAAAATATCTTATACCGTTACTCCTCATGGAATGAGGAGTAACGGTAGTTCGAACTAGGAAGCCTAGTTCGAACTACCTAGTTCGTGCCCCGTGTAGCCGCGCTGCACGGGGTTCGAACGAGCGGGGTTTTAAAAATGGCGGCGCCCCGCTTATGCAAATGAAGCCCGGGAAATTCAAATCCCGGGCTTCATTTGCAAGTGCAGTATGCCTACATTACCCCGCTAGTTCGAACTAGCGGGGTAGTGTAGACATACCCTTACAGATAACAAATCTTTATTTGTATACTACAAATTGTGACAGTAGCTAGCTGTAAAACATACAGGCAGGATAGTCACTTTTCTTACTAAAACCTAGGCTATCAACTGTCACTAGTGTTTTGTAACTAAACTTGGTCTAACGAAGCACAGCAGATTGCTGCACAGAAATATACATCACTGGCGCTCATTCTCAAAATGTTGCCTCAACGCCTCCCTGATTTTAATCCCTCCCCCATTGTCCCTCTCTCATAGCCCTGGCATCAGGCTGCTCAAAATCACCATTCAGGTGATCTGCCTCTGTGCTTCACCCCGAGCAAAATTTTCACTCAGGTTCACAAATATTATGCAACATACAGCAGGTAGCTATGGCCATGGAAATATTTTACTCATTGAGCTCTAACTTCCCACAAAGCATCACCAATGCACTTTTAGTCTGCCAAATGTACACTCCATGGTCCTCCTGCACCTACTCAGACTATTGTTGAAGCACTTCTTACAGCTGTTCAGGTTTCCCTGGTAAGGCTTCATGAACCATGGTAGCAACGGGTATGCTGAGTATCCCAGTATCATGTGTATTTCAATCTGGACTCTTCTAGGAATGGATAGGAAGTCCCTGTGTGCAGCTTTCTGTACAGGCCAGTGTTCCTGAAGATGTGCGTGTGTCACGTTTCCTGGTCCACCCTCTGTTAATGTCAATGGAACACCCACCGCACCATGGAAAAATAGCTCTATTGTATTCTGTGGTAATGTGGTCCAGTGCCAAACTGGGACATGCCATCTCTCGCCCCTCTTCAGTTAGAGAGATCCATTTCCATAAAGCCATCCACTATTTCATGCACATTGCCAAGAGTCACCGTCCTCTGAAGAAGGATGCAATTAATGGACCTGCACGTGTGCATTAGTTCAGCCCCACTTCCTGACTCCAAACTGATTCATGACCAACCAGTAGCAATTGAGGAATCACTAGATTCCTAAAGGCAACACCACGACTGCGTCTAGACTGGCATGATTTTGTGGAAATACTTTTAACGGAAAAGTTTTTCCGTTAAAAGTATTTCCGCAAAAGAGTGTCTAGATTGCCATGGATGCTTTTGCGCAAAAGCATCCGTGCCCAGTATAGACGCGCTTTTGAGCAAGAAAGCTCCAATGGCCATTTTAGCCATCGGGCTTTCTTGCGCAAAAAATGAAGGTGCCTGTCTACACTGGCCCTCTTGTGCAAGTATTCTTGCGCAAGAGGGCTTATCCCTGAGCGGGAGAGTCAAAGTATTTGCGCAAGAAGCACTGAATTCTTACATTAGAACGTCAGTGTTCTTGCACAAATTCAAGCGACCAGTGTAGACAGCTGGCAAGTTTTTTGCCAGTCTAGATGCACCCCACATGTTTCTCCACCAAGCGGGCAGGCAGCTCTCACTTTGGTGTCCTTGCATCACAGTGCTGGGGCAAGCACCACACAAAGTTCCAGGAAAGGGGGATTTCTGCATCCAAAAGTTCTGCATCTGCTGTTCATCCTCCCAGATCTATATAATGATGCAATACCATCATTCAGGAACTGTTTCCACAGCAGAAGAGCGATGGTCCACCATGTGCAGCTGCTCCATTAATGCCAAAAGTAATGTGGCGTTGTTCCGGTCCCTGGATCACAGCAGGTTAGGCAGCTCTGACTCAAGTTTGGCTAGGAGCCTCGTGATTAAGTGCACTACAACGTGCAATGTGTTAATGAGAGTGAACAGTGTGGACTCCATCCTTTCACACAGAGGGCATGTCTACACCAGCAAATCATTCTGAAATAAGTAAGATTGAAATAACTCCTGAAATAACAAAATCAAAATAGCGTGAACATCGAAATTCGTCAGAATTATTTTGAAATAGCGCATTCACACGGATGGGAGCCTGTCTGTGCAGCATCTGGCACAACTGGGACTTGATCTCTCATCCCTCTGTTCTCAGATTAGGACACAGGGTGAACAGAAAGACTCCAACTACATTCTCTCGCCTGGTCATTATTTCACTTACCCAATTATCTCCTGAAAAACGTTTCAGGGAGGAAATGTTTGGAAGCGTTTGCTTCTTTGTGGCCTTATTGGTGTTTTCCACAGCTCTTTGTGGCAAGCCATAAAGAGATCAGCCATAATGTGCTATCATATATATAGTAGCCCAATGTCTGTGACTCTGTAACGCTGAAATGCTTGTGCCCTCAGTCCTGCCCTTCCCCCCCCGCCATGGTGCTCGGCTGACGTCTGCGCTGCTCAGCCGGGTTGCTACGGGGGAGCAAGCGGCCGTTTGGGCGCTGTGGTCCCCATGCAGCATGGGGGTGCCGGGCCGCCACAGGGGAGCAAGCAGAGCAAGCGGCCGTTTGGGCTTCCTCGAGGCTGCCTGGCTGAGCGGCGCAGAACTCAGCTGAGCACCACGGTGGGAGGTGAAGGGGGGCGGGGGGGGGGGGGGGCTGGAGGAGCACGAGCAGCTGCACAGCCAGCTGGAGAGAAGCGGCGCTTTTAAGGGGAAAGGGCCGCTTCTCTCTAGCTGCCTGCTCCATGGCTGCCTCCTGCTCAGTCCTCCAGTCGGCACCTGTGAGTGGGGGCTGGGCGCTGCCCCTGCCGGGGGGGGAGGGCGGGGGAACGAGGGGGAGGACAACTGGGAGGCTGCAGGATCAGTGCTGGGGTGAAGGGAAACGGTGCAGGGGGGCAGCTAGAGCTTATAGGAAGCAGCTCCGCGGGGCTGCCCTGTGGGAGCAAGCGGCGCAAACAGCTGTTTGGGCTCCGCGCTCCCCATGCAGGAGAGCCAGGAGGGAGAGAAGAGAAAGAGAGGTGGAGAGAGAGGCAGGTGATGGAGGAGAGCTGAGAGAGAGAGGGGGGAGGCAGTAGGAGGATGGGAGAGGAGAGAGACGGAGCGAGAGACCGGAGGCTCAGGAAAGAAGACTGAGATAGAAAGGGAATAGGACGTGGAGGAGAGACCTGAAAATCCCGTTTTATGACGGGCTAATTGGCTAGTGTGGGTATAATTAGGTAACATTCCTATACAGACCTTCAGATCGCTTTGGTTAGGGTGCAAGCACTGTTAAACCGCACGGGTTGTTAAATGTAGGAGGTACATCTTCTTCAGAGGAATGAGGGGTGGCTGTGCAAACAGCAGCAGGAAAGATTTTATAAGCTCTGGGCCTCTTTCTGCAGCCATATCAGAAGAGCAGTGACCATGAGCCAAGAAGCAGAAAAAGTCACATCCTCACATTCCATCTACATTCCATCAAAATCATATCATATCAGCTATAAAGAAGATCCGGTCCTAATAGTACCCACCATCCTCAAATAAGGAAACAGATCTTAAGAAGCTTAAAGAAAACGTTGTTTGACACTGTTCTGTCTGGCTACAAATCACTTACCAACAGTTGTAGGAGTGAAATCTCAACTTCTTTATTATTTTACTGTTGTGGTCCCTACTTCCCTATTGTTTAGCCATATGGTTTCTGTCTGTTGGGGTATGTCTACACTAGCCCCCTAGTTTGAAGTAGGGAGGCTAATGTAGGCATTTAAATATCCTGGGCTTTATTTGC